TCATCCCCTGCATGAATAAACCTCCCCTCCTGCGTGTTTTCCATGTGCAGGCTGCTGTAATTACGGGTTTGGATTCCTGTGGGGACGGATTGTATCGAGCTGATCCGAGTGCTGGTGCCCCTGGATCGGGTTCTGGGCTGGTGATTAAAGTAAAATATAATGGCTGGGTGGGAGGGAGGCTGGGCTTGGCCACGTTCCACTTCATCCCAGAACAGCGTTTGAAAGGCTTTTGTCCACATCTGCCTCTTCTGCCGAACGCTCTCACAGGTTCCATCCCACCAGGAGTATTCCCTCTTCCACGTGCTGGCTGTTCAGAAATTGTGGAATTCTCAAAGTTGGTTATTTTACCGGGTTTTTTTGGGTAAAATAACCCTTTCATTTGTTACTGAGCTCTTCACCCCGGGGGCTGTGTGGCTGCATAACCTTCAGTGGGATTAGTTAAAAAGCCATTTTTACCAGCAGTGGTTATTTTTGTTGAAATGAGGTAGAGGATGATGAAGGTTAGCAGTGCTCTTGCTCCATAGACGTTCCTTCCAGGATAATGCCATTACCCTTATCAGCACCCTGATTCAAAGGGTTCCTGTGGAGCTGGAGTAGAAAGCAAAGGAGCAGGTGAAGCCTCTCCATGGTTTAATCCCTGTCCCTGGTGCCTGGGTGCCTTTCCCTCAGCCCGAAGGAAGTGGGAATGGTGAGGAATTCCGGGAGCAGAGCTTGCTGGCAGACGTGGCCCCTGAGGCTCTGTGAGCTGTGTGAGTGTTCTGGGAAAGGATGGGTTGGGGAGGGAGAGCCCGCAAATCCGTCCCCTCTGTCACCCTCACACCTCTCCAGGCACGGGGATTTGCTCAGTTCCCTGCACAACAGGATTCCCAGCGGATCCCGCTCTAATCCAGGGCTATAAATACCCTTGAGTGGCTTCTGTGGCGCTGATGGGACCTCGTCAGGAGCAGCTTTTTGTGCAGTTCAAAGGTTTTTCAGTTTTCCACCTGCAGTGGCTGCTGCTCCTCTCTTGGCAGGTCTGTGGTGCAGCTGAGCCTTCGTCCCTGCTCGGAGCGAGGGGGACTCTGCCCTGGCACAGGGTGCCCAGAGCAGCTGTGGCTGCCCCAGCCCTGGAGGTGTCCCAGGCCAGGTTGGACGGGGCTTGGAGCATCCTGGGCTGGTGGGAGGTGTCCCTGCCCGTGGCAGGGGTGGGACTGGATGGGCTCCTTCCAACCCAACCCATCCTGTGATTCTCAGCGTGGTTTTCATGAAAGGTGTCTGTGACCCTGGGCTGTAACATTCCATCACGTGAGGGTGTAAATCCAGGGCTGAGGGTTCGGAACAGGCAGGAAAAGGCTCCGTTAAACCCCAAAGAACCCCCCCCCGGTGTTGTGGTGGGAATCCCTGGCGATGTTCCTGGTTTATCCCAGCGTGGGAGGCTGTGTGGGCAGAGCACTGCCCGGGCTCAGCTGGGCAGGGGTGGTGCTGGGCCGTGTCCCCTGGGGTTGTGTCCTTGTGCTCAGGGACAGGCAGTGAGTCCTGCAGGCGAGTTTGGCTCTGCAGAGTTGTCTCCTGGCTGGGTCCAGGGCCTGGGGCTGGGACACATCCATGCTTCAGCCTCGGGGAGGGAGCCCGGGCGTGGCTGGGCTGCTGCTGCTGCTGCTGCCTTTGGGCTCTGGGAGTGGTTATTTACACTCGAGTGTGCTCAGAGCCTGCCTTTGGAGCACCGGCTTTATCTAACGGGGGTTTGTGGGCGGGGGGAGCGAAGTGCTGAAGGTGCTCCAAGGAGAGGCTGAGTGAGGATGGCACAGGTGGCACTTTTTCCATGCTCATCCGTGGGGTCTGTGTGTGTGTGGTGTCAAAGAGCCCCCCCAGTTTGTATGAACTCAGAGCAGTCTGGCTGGGCTGTGTTTGGTTCCCCGTGTCCTCTCCTCAGGCTGAGGGTGCAGCAGCTCTCCCCACGCTCCAGCTCCAGGGAGGGGGATGAGGTGGATCATCCAAACCCCTCCTGGATGGAGGGTCTGGGAATCCTGTGCCTGCCTGGCAGCTGAGGGGTTTTGCTCTCAGCAGTTGCCTCTGGATTCCAGCCCAGAGAGAGGGTTGAGAGGAGAGGGAACAAACCCCTCTCTGTTGCAGGGCTGGTGGGATTGATGCCTCAGGGAACTGAGGGAGTCTGGTGGGTGTCTGATCGCTGCAGATTCCTTGGGAAGGGCGACAGGACTGGATGTTTTCCGTGTTGCCTTGGTGGTGTCTGTGTTTGTGACAGCCAGGTCAGGGCCCTCAGGAGCTGCAGGTGGAATTGTAGAATAGAATCGTGGAATATCCTGAGCTGGAAGGGACCCACAAGGACCATCCAGTCCAACTCCTGGCCCTGCACAGACACCCCAGCAATCCCACCCTGTGCCCCAGAGGATCATCCAAACCCTCCTGGAGCTCTGGCAGCCTTGGGGCTGTGCCCACTGCCCTTGGGAGCCTGGTCAGTGCCCAACCAGCCTCTGGGGGAAGAGTCTTTCCCTGATATCCCTGACCCTGCCCTGGCACAGCTCCAGCAGTTCCCTTGGGTCCCAGAGCACAGAGATCAGAGCTGCCCCTCGGGAGGAACCTGCAGACCCCCCATGAGTCTCCCCTCAGACTCCTCTGCTCCAGCTGAACAATCCCTGGATTGCCCTCAGCTGCTCCTCAGGAGGCCCCTCCAGGCCCTTCCCCTCCTCGGATTCCCGGCGGTGCCATCCCTGTCCCTGCAGCCTGCCCTGTGTCAGGGCACACCTGGGACCTCCTGCCAGGGCAGGGGTGCCTCCATCCGCCTCTCTGGGCACCCCAGCTCTGACAGGGCTCCCAGGGCTGTGGCTCTCTCACCGCAGAGGCTCCTCCAGGTGCCCCTGGGGGGGTTTTTTGCCCCCCCTGGGCAGGGGATGGAGGGGACACGGTTCCAATCCAGGCTCTGCTCGCCCTCCTCTGTGGCAGCAGCAGCGTGAGCACAGCTGAGCCCTCTGCCTGCAGCTCCCAGAGCCTGGGGGAGCCCAGGGATGAGTGTTCCCAGCTCCCAGAGCCTGGGGGAGCCCAGGGATGAGTGTTCCCAGCTCCCAGAGCCTGGGGGAGCCCAGGGATGAGTGTTCCCAGCTCCCAGAGCCTGGGGGAGCCCAGGGATGAGTGTTCCCAGCTCCCAGAGCCTGGGGGAGCCCAGGGATGAGTGTTCCCAGCTCCCAGCTCCCTCTTCCTGCCCCGCCGGCCCCTCGGCAGGGGAACCACGGCGGAGCCATAACAGGAACAAGCAAACATCCCGCTCTTCCTGGTGACTGGAAGGGCTCTGCTGGCTCCCAGCACTGCTCTCCGGGGTGGGTTTTGCTGTTAATGATTACACAGGGAGCAGCTCCCCCTGGAAGAGGCTCCTGGCCCAGCTGGCAGCAGCTGGTTTGGTGCTGTTGCCATGCAAAGGGGCTGAGTGGCCCTGGCAGTGCCCTGCGGCCTCCTGCAGCACCAGCTGGGGTTACCTGGTGGGCTTTGTCAGCCCTGAGGGAAACCCAAGCTTGAGAAGAGCTCAAATAGCGACATTTCTCCCCTCCCTGTGTGGTTTAACCTGTTTGGGTTGTGACGTGGGTCAGGTGTTTCTCTTCCAATGCTGAGGGTTTTCCCCAGGGTCTCCCAGCCTTGCAGGGGCTGTCTGGCTGCTGGCACAGCTGAGGGTCTCCCAGCCTTGCAGGGGCTGTCTGGCTGCTGGCACAGCTGAGGGGACTCGCCTGGCACCGGGAATCGAATCCCAACGTCGGCTCTGGAGCCTGGGACACGAGGCAGTGGAAACACAACCCCAGATATCCCAGCAGGATATTTACCCTCGGGTCAGTGACAAACCTCTGCTGACGTCGGTGGAGCTGGGTTTTATCAGAGGTGTTTTCCAAGGGACAAATGAAGCGTTGGGAAGGTTCCTGAAGGAAGGTTTGTCAGGGAATCGGAGCTCTGGGACCGGGTCCTGGCCCCAAGTTGTGCTTAAAACAACACGAGGAACTGTTGAGGTGTAAAACCTGTTGAGGGCAGTGTTAGGGCTGTAGCTGCACTCAGGATGTGGGGAAAACACCGGGATCTTTGCACATCCACTTGTGTTGGTGGGGCTGCAGCCAACCCCTCCCTGAGATTTCCTTGGTTTCCTTCTGGTTCTGGTGTGCTGGGTCCCCATCCTGCACTTTCCCTTGCAGATGTCGTTCTCTGCCACCTGACAAAGGAATATAATGCAGCAATTTTCCTAACCTAAATAGTGGTTCTGACTGCCTGTATTTCCAGCTCCCCTGGAACTGGAATTAATTTAGTGTGTGGGCTTCTTAATTGGCTCGTTGTGGGGAGGAACAGAAAATGAAATGCTGCAGCTCTGCCTTCCTCTTCCCTTTCTTTAGTTAAATCTTTGTCATTCTTTGTGTCTCTGACTTCCATTAGTTGCTCAGGCTATTTTTCTCTGCTTTCTTTTGTTGTAGCTTCCATCTCTCAGCCTCAGGAATATCTGAGGCACGGATGGAGCTGCTGCCATGCCTCTGGAGCAGCGTTGCTGTCAGCCTGTGACAGATCCCATGTGATTGATGGCTGACGAGGCATCTGGAATATTTCTCCGTTCTCTGTGTGCCTGATGCTGTTTTTCCCTGTGCCTGGGGAGGCAGGAGGGGATGGCATCCCTTGTTCCAATGGAGCCATCTTCAGACTGGGATGTGGAACTGCACGGAGGTGGCAGCCCGGGAGCTGCCCGGCCATCCTGGCTCCAGCTGCTCCTCACTGACATCCCTCGTGTCACTGGTGGCTTTAGGGAGCTCTGGAATGGCCTGGCCTGGTTTGCAGCAGGGACAAACCAGAGCCTGTGTGTGTGTCGGGGTCAGGAGGGGCTTTGCAGCCTCAGGGGTGCTCCGGCTGCCTCCGGGAAAAGGGGAATGGGGAAAAGGCGTGAGGTGCTTCAGCTGCTGGGATCAAACCTGGGGTTTGGAGGAGCTGGAGATCCCTTCAAGAGCCCTTTAAGTGCTGAGAACTCTCTCCATTTCCTTTTTTAGGAGATCTGTCCTTTGCCCAAGGCAGCGAGTGCCCCTGCCTGTGCTGGAGGAGTGTGCCCACCTGCCCAGGTACGTGTCAGCAGCACACACAGAGCACCCACAGCTGGTGTTCCCCACCTTTGAACCCCCATTCCCCAGCCAGGGGGGTTGTGGAATCACAGAATTTGGGTTGGAAGGGACCTTAAAGCCCCTGCAGTCCCACCCCTTTCCCATGGGCAGGGACACCTTCCATGGACCAGGTCACTCCAAGCCCTGTCCAGCCTGGCCTTGGACACTTCCAGGGATGGGGCAGTGCCAGTGCATGGCACCAGGGGACAGTGAGCTGTCCCTGCACTGAGAGATGGTGACCAAGGTGGGGTGGCAGGTGCCTAAAATCACCCCGGTGTGGGTCACCCGGGACGTGGAGCTGCTGCCTGTACACTGGAATGGTTTTTCTGAATTACATTATTTTTCCTGTTATCACGTGATTTGGAACTGGCTGATCTTTAAGGTCCCTTCCAACCCCCCCCCCCTCTGGGATGTCACAGTGTCACCACTCCTCAGATGGCTCAGTGTCCTCCCAGGCAGGCCCTGCTGTGCTGTGCATCAGCTGATCTGCAGCTGCAGGCTCAAAACCATGGAAGCTTTGGTAGGATGATACAAAGGTACCTTCAAGGTTGTCAGTGCAGCTGACCTACCTCAGGAGCAGCTCTTCCAGAGGTGTCCCATTCCCTCCTCACAGGAGTGACCAGGCAGGGCAGCATGGCCAGAGTTCCCTGTTGGCTCCGACTGGGGCAGGAATCACTTTTTTAGGAGATCCCAGCAGCGTGTTGGTCCTCAGTCCTTCCCTGGGGCTGGATTTGGAGTCTCCAAGAGAGGGCAGTGTGTCCCTGGCAGCCGGACCTGCTGCGTGTGCTCCGGCTGCTGAGGAGCAGCAGAGCACCGAGCCTGGAACTCCTCATCCCGAGCTGAGTAATTAGTGACAGACTCATTAGCAGCTGCTCTCGGGGCTGGACGTGGCTGTGTGAGGGTTGGTCCTTTCCCCAGCCCTGGCAGGGATTCGGCAGCGCTTCCTCCTGCCTCACTTTCCCAAAAGAAACCCGTCCCCTCCGTGTCCCTCGTGCGTCACTTCGCCCCACTTTGTGCTCTTGGCGTGTCCTCCACGAGGGGACGGATGTGGTGGGATCCCCTGGAGCTGCTGGGAGTCACAGGCACCCAGAGTGGAATCCAAAACGTGAGGAATCCGGGAGGAAACCAGGAGAAAACCCGGACAGAAGGAGAACTCCTCGAGGGTGTTCTATTGTCGCGTTTGGCCGGAGAGCTCTGAAAGGGAAAGGCTCGGGCCAGCTCTCCCAGCAGATCCCTGTTCACCCAGAGGCAGGTTTCTGTGGAAGTGTGGAAGCATCTCCCCAGCCCAGGGGGCTCAGAAGGGCTCAGGGGGGACCTGGCAGGATTGGGGAGGCAGAGGGGGGTCAGGCTCTGCTCCCAGGGAACAACAGGACGAGAGGGAACGGCCTCAAGTGGTGCCAGGGGAGGTCCAGGTTGGACACCAGGAGGAATTTCCTCATGGAAAGGGTGGTCAGGCCTTGGAAGGGGCTGCCCAGGGGGGTTTGGAGTCCCCACCCCTGGAGGTGCCCGAGGAAGGACTGGAGGTGGCACTCAGGGCTGGGGGACAAGGTGGGCATCGGGCACAGGGGGGTCTCTGTGACCTTGGAGGGCTTTTCCAGCATCAATTATCCTGTGATTCTGATTTTTTTTTTGTGCCAGGCAGGGCTCTCACTCACCTCTCTGTTGTTTAGGAGCAGCTTTTAATGCTCCCAATTCTTGCCCAGTTCCTGCAGTTCCGTGAAGGCCCCTTTATTGGTGATTTGTGTCCTGCAGGAGTGATGCTGCCCTGGCCTGGTAATCATTGATAGATCAAGAGCTCCCTGTTTCCCAGGGGTCATTGTGGCATTTAATTTTTTAACTAATTGGCTGTATAAAACTGCTGATACTCCCTGGAAAATGTAGGGCGCTTGTGTAACATGAAAGCACATTGAAATAACCTCAGAAGTTGCTTTGAGGTGAAAACTTATCCCAGGAGAAACAGCCACAGTTGAACCAAAACTATAACCTTGATTCCAGATCCTTCCTTGGGACACTGTGTTTTTTCTTTCCCTGTTTTCCGTGGTGGCAGAACAAGGTGAACTTCTCCCAGCTGGAAGGAAAGGGGGAGGATCCCCCTTTATTCATTTAGAAGCGTGGATGATTTATCAGGATTATTTTTTTTCCTGTGGTGTTTTTAAGTGATTTGAAGTGAACAGCCCGTTTTGATGTTGTTCTGCTGGAGCAGGATTGTGGGAGCAGCCCGTGGAATAGCTGTGCTTCACAGCCTTCAGCTGCTCCTCAGAACATTGCAAAGCAAATTCCTGCTCCCTTTTGTGATGGCACTCCAGGAATTCCAAACCTCAGCATCCCATCTGTGCTCCACTCTGGTATTTACAGTGTAAGGAATTCAGGTGGATCCTCTTTCACCTCCTCTTCCTGTTCCAAGCAGTTGTTAAGCTGGTGTAGATTTTAAAATTCCTGCAATTTTTGGGAGGCTGTCAGGGATATAAAAGATCTCGTGTTGCTGATCTAATTGTGTTAAACCTCAGCGTCCCCGGGGCAGGGAATGGGCTTGGCCCTGGTTTGATCTCTTCGGAACAGCTGGAGGCATTTGCTAAAACTGGAGGGTTTTTTAAAGAATAAAACTTCACAACCATCTTTTCCTGCGGCCACACAGACTTGTTTGGTTGCTGTTTTGCCCTCTGAAAGGGAGGAAAAGGTGATTTTTCGGACGGGGGGGAGGTTGGAAACTCAAACTCATCCCTGGTGCATCCCTGGGAGAAGGAGCTGCTGCTGGAGCACAGCGTGTTCCATTGGTGTTTGTACACTTTAAATCCATTTTTCCAAGCAGCTTCAGGAAATTGGCATCCCATAAGTGAGCCCTTTAAAAATAGCTCCGTTCCCACTGCCCGGGGGCCGTTGTTTCCATGGCCCCTTGTCCCGGGCACGGGGCAGGATCCCCGGAGCCCTGGAAGGGTTTTTGGGAGGTGCTGCTCAGCAGGGCTGGAGCCCCAGATATTTCCTGAGGAGTCACTTTGTCCCGTTTCCCTCAGGAACGGGCTCCTGCTGATGGAATGCTGCTGTCTGCAGGGCTGGATTTAAACTTTTCCCTCCTTTGCTTAGAGGAAAAGCCAGGGATGGGTCGAGTGGGTTGGAATGATCCTTTGGAATATCCCGGGCTGGTGCTGCTGTACCAGGCTGAGCTGCTCCTTCTCCTCAGACCCACGGCTCTTTAAGGCATTTCACACTTAAAATTCAGTTCTGAATTACTTTTTTGTCCAGGACCTTCCCCCACGTGAAACCACCCGTGACAGGTGCCCTGGGTGTGAAATTGGGGTGCTGGGCTGTTCCCTGTCTCCCAGCAGTGCTCCCCTTGCTCTGCTTGGAGAATCCCAGGAGCAGCTGCTGGGCAGGATTTGCCTTTGGAGGGACTTTAAAGTGCCAGGTGTGGTCACAGGGGTCCTGTCAGGGGATTTCTGCAGCTCTCAGAGCCTCAAGCACAGATCCCTGGAGGTGTGAAGCACTTTCAGGCCTCAGGGAAGGCCCTTTTTACTTCCCTCTCCTCCAAGCCTTCCCTTTTTAGGCCTTAAAAAAACGTTCCAGAGCAAGTTGCCAGCACAGACTTCCCAATTAGCAACCTGCTTCCAAAAGCAAATGCGTGCTGGCTGTGGCAGCTGTTGCCCAGCAAAAACCCTGGGCTGTGTGCTGGAAAAGGGCACAGGGAAACAGGATCTGCTCATCCCCTGGAGGAGTTAGTGGGGAAAAGTTAAACTTTAAAGCTCTCCCTTTGCCGTGGATATTCTGTGTTGGTTGCCCGGGTGCAATTGTTTGATAATTTGCTATTTATAGGCGGGTATTTTTAGGGATGTGACGAGTCCAGCTCTGGACCCGGATCTGTTGCTATTATTGGAGTGCTGAGTGGCAGAATTAAACCAGCCTTGCTTATCCCATTAAGGTTCTCTCATTTTGAGGTGGATTTGAGGGGCTGGAGCGTGGCCAGGGAAGGGAGAGGAGCTGGGAAGGGGCTGAGGGAGCTGGGGGGGCTCAACCTGGAGAAGAGGAGGCTCAGGGGGCACCTGAAAGGAGCCCCTGGCTCTGTGACACCTCCAGGTGCCACGAGCCTTGAGTTTGTCAGGAACATGAGCCGTCATTCCCGCCTGGCACTTGGGCCTTGCTGGGCCGTGGTGGGAGTGCTGGAGTTCTGTTCCCCACCAGAACGCAGGGCCTTGGGCTTTTGTGGGTTTTGCACGTATTGAACCAGCCTTTGGCAATGTGGAGGCCCAGCAGCAGGACCAGCAGCCACCTGCTCCAGCCTGAGCCTGGATCTGGCAATCCTGGGCGCTCCCTGATCTTTCCATGGAGCTTTTGATCGATCCCAGCCGGAACAGTTGATGGCATTGGCCCCCCGCCCGCCCCACGACCTGCCGTGTCCAGGGGAGCACAGCAGCCCCAGCAGCACGGAATTCCTACTGCCAGGGAGCTGGAAGTCCCTCCTGGAAGGGCCCTGGTGCCCCCCTGGGGTTCCTGGCACCGAGGGGGTTCCAGTGGGCCGGGATGGAGGATCCCATTTCCTTCCAGCCTTGCCCAGACTGCAGGGGAGCACTGGCAGCTGCAGGGATGCTTTGCATGACCAACTGTTGCTGCTTCCAGTCAGCTGGGGAAGGAATTCCCCTCCGTGCTGCCCACACCCGCCCCAAGGTATCCCTGGAAGCCACAGCTCTGCCTGGGCAGCGCCAGGAAGGCCTGGGCACAAGGAAGGCCTGGGCACAGCAAGGCTCTTCCCAAACCTGTTGGAGTGACACATTCCTGGGATGAGCTGCTGCTCCTGCCGAGGGGGCTGAGCCTCCCTGAGCTGTGCAGGACCCTCATGCTGAGCCTCCCTGAGCTGTGCAGGACCCTCATGCTGGGCCTCCCTGAGCTGTGCAGGACCCTCGTGCTGGGCCTCCCTGAGCTGTGCAGGACCCTCATGCTGAGCCTCCCTGAGCTGTGCAGGACCCTCATGC